CACACATATTCCATCCATTTATCTTAGACTCACAGGGTCAGATAGCCTGGCAGCATTCATTTAGTACTTTGTCCCTTCAAGGTGCATTTTGGCTGTCATACTTGTTATGAAGAGAAGATTTTTGTAAGAGAGATCTTATACCCCTAAGGCTCTGCCTTCCAGAAATGGGTTGCAAAACTGGAATACTTTTAAGTATTAATTCAGTGACATCATTAAGTAAACCTTTGTTTATTAATATTAACAAGTTAAATTAAATCAACAAGCATATTAAGTGCCTACTACGTGCCAGACACTGTGCTAAGCACTGGAGACAAAGAAAAACAAAACAAAACAAAACAATTGCAGCTCTAAGGAGCACACAGCCTAAGAAGGGAGACAGCACGCTAACAACTCTGTGCGTCCAAGATATATACAGAATGAATTGGAGGCATCTTAAAGGAAAGGCAATGGCATTAATAGAGATTGAGAGAAGCTACTTACAAAAAGTGGTATTTTATCTGGGACCTGAGGGAAGCCAGAGAAGTCAGGAGGTGGAAACAAGGAAAGTAAAAATACATGGAGTGGAGAGATGTTTTGTGCAAGGAACAGTAAGGAAAACATTGTCATTGGGTGGCAGAGAATGTGCCAAGGGTTGATAGGCAAGGGTAAGGAAAAAGAAGACTGGAAAGGTAGGAAGAGGCCAAGTTCTAAAGCACTTTGCATGCCAAACAGATGATATTATATCTCATTCTGGCTGTAATAGGGACTCACCAGAGTTCATTGAACAGAGGGAAGTGATGTGGTCATTCTTGCATCTTAGAAAAATCCATTTGAGATATGAATGGAAGGTGAACTTAAGTTGGGAGAGACCTGAGACAAGGAGACCAACCAGAAAACTATTGCAATATTCCAGGTGTGAGATAAGGGGGCCTGCACTAGGGTGGTGGCATTGATGTAGCATAAAAGAGGGGTGTATACAAGAGATGTTGCAAAAGTAAAATCAACAGGATGTGGCAAAAGATTGGATATGGGGGTAAGGAGAGTGAAGTCAAGAATAATTCCTAGGTTTTAAGCCTGGGTGACTAGGAAGATGATGGTATCCTTAACTGTAAAAGGGAAGTTGGGAAGAGAGCAGGCTTTAGGAGGGAAAGTTGAATTCAGGATGGGGCATGTTGAGTTTCAGATGACTATGAGACAGCCAGTCCAAGAGAGCTAATAGGTAGTTGTAGATGTGACACTTGAAATTAGTGAGAGAGATTAGGGTTAGATAAATCTGAGAATCATCAACACAGAAATAATAATTCAATCCATGGAAACTGATGAGGTCAGCAAGTTAAATAGCTTTCAAAACTGGAAGAGAAGAGCACCCAGGACAGAACCTTTGGGGACACTCGTGGTTAGTGGAAATGAATAGGGTGAAAGTCAGCAAGGAGACTAAGAAAGACCAGTCCCACAGGTAGCATAGAAAGAGAAGACATAGGATTGTGCAAACCTAGAGAGAAGAGAGTTTCAAGTAGAAGAGGATGATTAATATTGTCAGAGACTGTAGAAAGGTCAAGAAAGATGAAGATTGAGAAAAGATCATTAGATGAGTTATTGTGAATAGATTTGGAGTGAGCAATTGAATACTGAGATCAGAATTCAGATTGTAAAGAATTAAGAAAGGATTGAAAGGAGGTGGATTGTAAACCACCTTCTTAAAGAGTTTAGCTACAAAAGGAAAACAAGATATACTATAATATTTCACAATGAGGCATGGATCAAGTGAGGGTTTTTTAAGGATTGGGAAACTTGTTTGTAGGCACTGGGGAAGCAAACAGTAGACAAGAAGAAGCTGAAGATAAGTGAGAATGTGAAAATGAAGGGAGAGTCTGCTGGAGAAGATGGTATGGAATGGGATTATTTGTGCCTATTGAAGGGTTTGCCTTGGCAAGGAGAAGGACCACCATATGATTTCATGTGAGACAAGGGATAAGTTGAGAATAGTGGAGGAAGGCATCTGAGTGCTGTGAGATGAGGAGGGGGTGAGAAGAGGGAGTCTTTGGTGAGTGACCTCAATTTTTGCAATGAAATAAAGCAAAGTTCTCAGTTAAAAGGTTGATGGATGGGGAGCCATAGGATGTTTTAAGGAGGATGAAAAGGTTTAGAAAAGTCACTGTGGTATATAGGGACAGTTAATCAATTAGGAAGGTGTAAAAGTATTGTCTTGCCACATGGAGGGCCCATTTGAGATCTTGTAACATAAATTTGTAGTGAGTCTGGTCAGCAAGTTTAACACTTGGTATTAACACAATCATATCCCTCTGCAGTTAAACATCTAAGTGCTGCATGCAGAGTTAGGTGCCAATACTTGCTTTTCACCAATGGCTAAAGTGAGGCATTGAATTAAACAATTTTTGTAAAGTTACTTAGTTTTGAGGACATTTGTTTAAGTGTGGACTTACCTGTTAAAAATCTGAGGGCCAACTGAGATCAAATAGTTTGTAAACTTGTCCCATTCTTCCTAGAGAATTACTAAATGATGAATCCAGTATTTAAAACCTTGATCTCTCACTAAACTATTTCTCTTTCCTTAAGTTTATTGGAAATACTTGGTGAGATGAGAAGGCAGATTGTCCCATTGGCTATTTTCTTTTCTCTCTCTCCTTTCTAGTTAAAAAGATGGTGTCCAACAAAATTTGGATTTCTTGACCTCACATCACTATATAGGAACAATAGGCACTTGTCCAACAATATTTTTGGTTTTGTTTCCATCCAAACATGTGATATCATAATAATAAGGATTTCCTAATGAGGAAACTCCCTGTACCAATGCAGGATAGCATTTGTTCTTAAATTTATCAGCCTAGACAGTTGTACTGGAATACTAAGAGATTAAGTGACCTGCATAAGGTGACATAGTCAGTATGTCAGAGGCAAGTCTTGAAGCTTGGTCTCCCTGAATACAGGGTTGACTCTCTGTCCATTATATAGTGTTAACTCTCTTTGCCAAAAGTAGAGTGCACCTAATGAGAGCTAATAAAAATGTTTACCTGGAGTTTTGCAAATCCAATTGAGTTAAATAAAAAAAAGGAACTGGAGGGACAAAACTGTGTGTGTGAGAGTTTATATATACATAAACACACCAAGCTAGATTCAACAGAAAACATAAGAAAATGGCAGTAGAAATTTCTGGTAATTCATAATCCACAGGAGATAACTTCAGAGAAAACCAGTAGAAAATTTGTGTCCAGCTTAAGAGAGATCAGGTTTTGAAATTGAAATTCAAGAGTATTCCATAAAGAGTACAATGTGAAGTGAAAGGAGCGGAAGAGATAACCAAAGGAGAAAGGGCAATGAAATCTGAGAATATTAGGTGTGCCTACATTTTATTTATTTTTAAAGTCCAGGGCTACAGGTGATTATATGCAAATGTATCAAATATAGTTAATAAGCAAAGTGAACTAGAAATCCTAATCCTAATGCAAAAAGACAGGGGAAGCTTCTGGATCAAGTTCAACAAGAAGGAAATAGTTCTTCTGCACTGTCAACCTTGCAAAGAGGTGACTGTTAGATCTTAGAATTCATAATAAGGTGGAGAGAAGAAAGCCTGGCATAGTCTTACATATACCCTAGATTTGGGAGGGGAGAAATTTTCAAAGGGTGTAGAAAAAGTACAGATAGGAAGAACCTTTAAATTTTTTTAGCGGAAGAAAATGCAAGAGGGAAGGAAAAATATGAAGAATGAAATTCAAGTGATTGAAAGATATATTCTATGAGTGAAAAAGAAATGAGGTAGTTGTCCAAAAGGACTACGTGTATATACTTGGAATTAACCAACTTAAACTTTCTTTTAGCCATGTAGATAAAAAAGGAAAGGTAACTAAATATAAATGCAGAAATATGTCACAATCCTATAAGAACTGTTGGCAGGAATGGCAAGTTCAAAAGAAAGGCTGTTTTTAAAGCTATATTAGTGAAAAGAGAATGATCAGTGAAGGTAAAAGACTGCTGTTTGAGAAGGATAGTATAGTGGCAACAGTGGAGAGAAGCAAAACGATTCAACTTGTATTTTGCTTTTAGTTTCTCAGAAAATGAAAATTATCTTTGGATTGGAAAAGAGAGATCAAAAAAGACTAATAGGGAGTTGAAACCTTACATAAATTAAATGGGAATAGAGCACCTAGTTGTCTTTGATAAGCTCATCACCATACACAAGTGAACTGTATCTCAGGGCACTTAAATAACTCTCAGATGTGGTTGCTGTGAGGGTTGTAGTCAGAAATGACTCAGTCAGCTTGGGGGAGGGTGAGATATTTCTTGTGAACTTTCCAATATAATATTTATATTTTCTTTGATGAAACTTTCCAATTTCCAATTTAATATTTATATCAGTGACTTTGATGAAAACATAGATGACATGCTTATCAAATTTTTATCATTCATTTGAAACTGCCCTCTCCAAAATTATTTGTGTACCACCTTCTCTTTAAAGGTTAATTTCCCAATCTAATTTCCTTTTCTCAGTCTTACCATTTGTGACCTCTCTGCAGCATTTAAGGCTATTGACCACCTATTATTCTTGGATATTATCTCTTCTCAGGCTATTTGTGACACTGTTCCCTCTTGGCTCTTCTCCCACCTATCTGACCACTCTTTTCCAGTTTCCTTTGATATACAGGGTCACACATCACCAGGGTAACCATGGGGTAATGAATTTTTCAAGTATAATGGTAATGATGATAGTCTATTAGTACATAGAGGGGTCTATAACCCACAGTGGTAAAAAAATAGCCAACAGTGGCAAAAATCACAGATCCTTGAATTATCAAAATTATATAGTTACTGACTCCTGTATATTTGTCTCCATTAGATGACAAGGTCTTTGAGAGAAGACATTATGTCTTTTTTATTATGAGATATATCTCTGTATCTCTAGTCTTAGCTTAGTGCCTTCCACATAGTAGGCCCTTAATACATATTTGTTAAATTGCATAAAATTGAAACATTGAATTAAAAAAGAATGGCTTCTTTTTTTCCAGCTGAAGATAACAGCCTATCACAAAAGAGAAAGGTAACAGTTGAAGATCTATTCAGTCCAGACTTCAAAATTCATGATCCAGAAGCTAAATGGATAAGTGGTGAGTCCTATCTATATATGAGAACCCCCTGCTCCCAAAAATATATGTACCCTTGCTCCTTTTGCTTTCTCCTGTTTACTCTTTTTTTCTTATTTCCTGCTTGAAATTCTCTCCTCCTTTTGGTTGTAGAACTGGAGCTACTGAGCTCTTTCTGTGTTAGTCATCCTATTATCACGATGGGAGTCTGTAAATCTCATAGCCCTGTGGGGTTTTTTAATGTGTATGTTGCATCATGTTGCACTGACACAGCATTAACTTCATAAAAAATGAATCTTCTGATTATATTTCTGCAATGTGTTGCCTCACTGAGACATTACTTTTTTTTGGGCAAAGGTGAAATGTTGCTAAGCAACAGTTATACTACAGAAAACAGAGCTTGGCTTTTCCTTCCTTCCTTCTTTCCTCACAAGCCACACATTCTTTGTCCTGTATTCTGCACCTTTCTTTGCCCCTACTCTCTATTGCATAAAGGTACTAAAATAAGTTTTTTTTAAATGGCCTAAGATGATAAAAAGAACTTCCCTGGAATACTGTCAAGATAACTAGAACCAGGCATGCCAAAACATACCAATATTCACATTTCCCCATTGGGGTTTAATCTGATAAAATAAACATAAGGATGACAAAAATGATGGTAAATGATAGACATTTAAGATTTTTAAAGCTCCTTCTATCACTTACCTCATTTGATCCTCACAGCAATCCTGGAAGGTAGGTACTACAAGCAACATTAGCCACATCTGACACTTTCCTGTGACTTACAGAAGTTAAATGCTTTCCTTGTGATAGAGGTCAGATTGCAACCCTGGCTCCAAGGCCAGGATATCTTCCTCTTCCTCTTTTTCCTTCACTCAATGAATATCAGAAAGAAATAGTCTGGGAACACGTCATTATCCTACCACTGTTTTTTTATATGAAATGTTCAACAGAATATTGCCCAGGTAGATCAAGTGATTGCTTTATGTAATTGAATAAAAGTATTGGGAAGCAAGCTCATTTTCTTCAGGCTAACAGAAAGCATAACTGGGCCATCTTCAGCAGTAAGTAGGATGCCAGAGATGATATATACTTCATCCTATATGGTTTGAGATTCTGCTGGTAGGTCTCTAGAATTGAAGTTTTACATTACAGGAGTTTGAGGGATCTGAGTGTTGAGTATGATTCTATCTATTAAAAAAGGTTCTTCTTTTATGAGTCAATGTTATGCCTTGGCAACTCGGGGCAATAGTTTTGTCTGTGATTATGCTATAGTCCCAATATAGTTTTTCTATTGAATTATATCATTATTATTGTCTAGAACAAGTTTAGAGTTACATGTGAAAAAAGCTGACAGCAGGAATGTAATAGTGAACTTTATAGAGCTTCACTCATTCTCAGGATCAGATAATAGAAAAGACCTTAGAAATCATGTATGCCTAAGGTCTTCCCTTTAGACCCAAAAAGCTAATATGTATTGTCCAAAATCTCATAGCTAACAAGTAATAGAGCCAGTATTAGTATTGTAACCCAGATCCTCTCTTTGCTATCTCTTGATGTTTTTATTGAATTTTTAAATAGAATGATTCAGAAAAAAAAATCAATGATTCCTTTGAATTTAGTTTGACATAATGAACTTTAACACATATGAGATTATAAGGACTCCAGTCCTACATATCTTTCAGTACAGAATTTTCCAAACTGTGGGGCATACCCTAGGTTGAAAATCTGCACTCAAAACAGTGGCTGAAATTATTTTATATTTTAGAGTATACACCTTACATGTGAGATTAGTGAGCTCTCCTTTGGCTTAGCTCTTGAGATGGGTGATGGAAACAAGTTGTAGACCCTCCTTTTTCTCCTCCCTCATAGTTATAATGTTAGATTCTGACCTTATAATTAATTAACTTATTTGTGTAAAAATAGAAAGAAGTGAAATAGAAGGAAATAACACATATATTGTATATCTGTGTTATTTCCTTCTATTTCTATTTGTGTATATATGTTATGTATGTATATAGGTATGTGTATATATGTAATTTTTTTCAGTGGTGGATAGAGTTAAGGGTAACAAATTAATTAGGTTTACCTCTTTGTTTGGCGATCCTAACAAGGTAATTGGAAAAGCAATAAGGATTTATCTCCAGTCTTCTTGAATTTCTAATAAGAAAGTTATTGAGCTCTCTTTGAAAAGTGTTTCCTTTCTGTCCACCTAAAGGACATGAACTGTAGTTTAAAAATTGTGCCATTGTTGTATAAGTTGTGGCACTATAGTTCCTTCACGTAATATTCAGGGAATTTATTTACTGATTTCTGTATCTTTTTCTTCATCCTCTCTATGGTATTATGTAGATACTCTTTGTTTCTTTCTTTGCTTATGCATTTATAGCACCCAAATATATGCCTTTGGCCAAATGGCCTCTGTCTCACAGCTACATTTCTCCTGAGAGCCAGGAGATCATGTTTAAAATATCTCTATATCCTTCCATCACTACCACCACATTGAAAGCATTGAACATACTACTTTTCTCAAATTCATTATTTGTTGATTATGTAGTAAGTGAATGACTTAAATATATGCATAAGATATACTTGACGCAGAATGTTGATATGACATTGACACACAGTGAGATAAGATCAGTGAATGTTAGATGTCTATATATCTTGCATTAATAAGTTTTGATTCTCCATACTGAAAATAAAAGTATAAATAATTCAGAAAAGCATACCAACAAAAACTTATTTCCATTTAATTTTTAAATATATGGATATGGTATTTAGGGCATGGGAAGGACAGTTGACTTACCCTCCTAATTATATGACTTTGGCTAATATAGTAGTCAAAAAATTTACTTTCATGTTCATATACCTACAGACAATGGTAGGTGATAGGTCAGATATATGTTGACCATTAAGGGGAAATCAGACCTAAACCATCCCTTGACCAGATTTTGAATTTTCTTAAATTGACCAAGTAGATAATGCACATATCAACACCTCAGAGTTAGCCATGCATAGGGCATAGTTGATACTGCCTAACCAGCCTGTTATACAAAGACTTTCTTGACTTCTGCCAATACAGTGAACACTATTCATGAATGTCCCCCATGGTTCTACAGAAAAATTGTCTCTGTGTCTAAGGAGACTCTTAGAAGTATTTTACTGTATATTTCTTTGATGAAATAATCCACACAAAATGTGGCATTTCAAAACAAAAACTAGGTCACTAGAGTTCTCCGAAAACTAGCTACCATTTAAAGATTCCCTGAGGTTAGTTTTCTTTCTCCTTCTATTTTTCTTCTTGTTAGTCCTATTCCTCTTCCTCTTGCTCTTTTCCTTCTCCTTTTATTACTTTAAAATATATTTCATAATTTGATTAACATTTAGAAATTGTGCTTTTTATTTTACTTTTTATTTTGAAGTTGAATACCAAAAAATGAGCATTTCCATAAATAAAGAAGAATGCAAAAAGAGGATTATATATAAAACTGAGTCTGCATTTCACACTGCTTGCTTTTGTTAAAAAAAATCATACTAAATTCCCTGTATTATTTTCAAAAATATCCTGCTTCTTTCTGCTTCCTTAACTTTATTCTCTCTCCTGTGCCTTAAAAAAAATAAAAAACTTTCCAATGACCCTCCTTTTTTGACTTGACTATTGCTAATTGCCTTCCCAATTAAAAATGGGGGGGGGGCAAAACCCTTATAACAAATAGAGTTAACCATAAGAAATACACACAGTGGCCCTGTCCAATATTGCATATCTTTTTCTATATCTTAAACCCAACACCTCAAGCCCATCATCTCTCTATCAAAAGGTGGGTTATAAACCTCATCATAGGTCCATGGATACATGACTAGTGATTGTTTTTATCAGAGTTTATAAACCTTTCAGAGTTTTGTTTATTTGCAGTGTTATTATTATTATATAAATTATTCTTCTGGTTCTCACTCTGCCTCAGTTCAAATTTTTTTTATTTTCTCTGAAATTATTTCATTATTTTTTATGGTGCATTAATATTCTATTACATACCAAAATTTGTTTAGCCATTTTCCAGTCAATGGACACACACATTAGATTCCTGTTACTTTCTTTTGTTCTGCTTTGAAGTCTTCTTTCAGAATCAAGAAGTTTATTTTCCTTGTGACTTTTCCCTCTCATTATTACCCTCTCTTTTAACCCCATCTCTCCTTGTTCTCATTTGATTCCTGATGAGTTTTGATGTGCTTCTATATCAAACTGTGTGTGTGTGTGTGTGTGTCTGTTCAGCTGTTCTTTATACATTTCAAATAAGAGTGAGGTTCACCTAATGTCTATTCTCCTCCCCTAGCTTCCATTTGTATAAATGCAGAAAGAGACATTTATTCTTGGTCATGGACACTATGTGAATTTGTTTTCTAGTCTCTTCTTATTTGTTCGGGTTTTTTTCTCTGTGTTTAATTGGGGAGGGGAGTATGTAGATCTTCTCATATATCCCAATTATGAGAAATATCAAGTTCTATTCCCTGCTCCCCCTTTAAAAGTATCTTCCTCTTACCTTCCCTTATTTTTCCCTCTTAAAATCATTAGACCAGAACCAATCTATCACAGGTTCTCCATTGTTCTACTTTAATTCCCTCAGTACCCTTTAAAAACAGTAAGGTCCTGGCAGGACACTTGTTTCTTCTCCCCACATTAGAATGTTAGAACTACATCACCACAAAACCCCTTCCAATTGCTCAATTAAGTTTATGTTTCTAGGTTGATCTTGCCTTTTGTGTTTGCGTTTCAAAGTACCTACCCAGCTCCTATCTTTTCATCAGAAAATTGAAAATTCTTTCTTCTATTAAAGATTTATAATTTTTCCCCTGTGGGATTATACTCAACTTTGCAGGTTAAGTTATTCTTGGTTGAGGTGATTTAAGTAAAAGAAATATCGTATTTTGCCTCAGCTCCTTTTTCATAGGTCAGGGTATTCGGGAAAACATGCTATTGAATTGTAGGATCATCAGATATTTTGTAACTTTAAGTGATCTAAGAAGTC